CAGAAGGTCCCAACTTTGATTTAGATGCTCCTTTGCTCACCCCTCCCATTGGAAGAGCTCTAAAAGCAACAGGGGCTTTTAGATCCTTTGATTCTTGATACTACAAGCCTTTATGTGTTGAGCTTTTACTGTCTCTAACTCATGTCTTGGTTTAACTTGGTTTATTTTTTGCATACAACAGCCACTTTCTTCTACTTTATCTTCCAGCCAGACCACACACTTAGTACAAAACTCTTTTCCTACATTCCCTCTGAATGCTCTTGACAAGTTTATCCCTACAATAAATCACAACAGTTTACACAGTATCAAAGACAAGTATTGATGGCTGTCAATACTTGTTTCTGATTAGTCAAAACCTGCTAACACATGTGGTTAATACTAAACAACCATGGCAATGGTAGACACAACCTGATCACACATTGACTATATGTCAAATCAACTCAACCAAAGGACCCTGGTTGACACTGGCAAAAAACCTTGGGACCTTGGGAGTGAGGAAATCCTGTCAACTACAGGGCCCAGGTGTGAAAGCAGATTGAGGAGCTATGAAGCCCCAGTTTACTCTGATAGGGTAAAGTTGAGCAAGATCTTGTCCTGCAATCCAGGCAACAGCTAATTTGTATGAATTAGTCAAAACCCATTAACATATGTGATTAATGCATGTACAGCTTAAAGATAACAGAGAATGTTAACAAAACAGAAATGATAACATATACATCAGGTCCCATTCAATTAGTCTGTGTTACCTTTGTTGAAAGGAAACTTTTAATGTGAATTCTAACCAAAAAAGGGACTCCGACCACTCCACAGTAGATACAGATCGATCCAGAGGCCCGCTAATCAATGTATCTATATCTTTTAAGTGAAAATTGATTGCCAGTTTGTTAAGGTGACCATATTCTGAATCCCCAAAAAGAGGACACCACTACGCTGGGCAGAGTCACAGAGTCACGCATAGTAAATTTTGAGTTTTTCGGGGTGGGTTGAGTGTTTTATGCGCTTCTAACTCAGTAAGTCCACATGACACAAACTCAAAACTTCCATACAAAACCCTGGCCATTTGAAGGATTTTATAAACTCCCCTGGACAAAGCGGGACAGGCTGGACAGCCCCTCAAAAAGAGGACACGTCTGGGTAAAAGAGGACGTATGGTCACCCTGAGTTTGTACCGGTGAATCTTTACACCCCTAGTTTAGAAGAATGGATTTACATCTTGAAAAGTGATATTCTAAGGCAACATAATGCAATGAATCACAGGTCAATTGTGTTTGTCAAAAGAAAACTCATGATGATTTGTATGTCGTTGGTGTTCTGACCTGTATGAATTAATGAGAGACACATTTCATTTTCTGGGCATCTATTCATTAAACTCCTTAAATTACTACCACCAATCTGCAAACTAAGTGTGAAGATTTATCATGTGGTCCATAAGCCCTCAACCCCCCACCCTCTTTGAGGATGATCATCACTTACTGGACATCTTCCACCACAGATGTTAAATTAAATTTATTCACAGCATCTCTAGAAGTTTCAGCCGCTTTCACCATCACCACCACCCACATTCACATGGCTCCTGGCCCAGATTGGAAACTCGACTGTAGTTCTTGGATTCTGGACAGTGCTTCATCACATCTGTGCTTCTCCACCTCCTGTGGTGGCTCAGTGGGAGAATGCGTCTATAAATCTAACCGTCACATAGCAGGGAAATTAAGTTGGCAGAAAGATGGACGGCGTAGCAGTAAAGATGTTGAGCACAAACAATACGGCCAGAAATGGTCTAAATGATCACACATGCTTGAAGAGCCTGCTCTGTGATCTAAATCCTCTTCTCTCACTACCGCCTCTCTTGTTCTTCCCTACAATACCGACATTCCCATCCCCTCCCTGTCTTTGTGTGGCTGCACTTCATCTGTTCCCTTTAGCTTGTTCTGCAACAACTTCCACGGAAACACTTCATATCTAAATGTGGTAATTGAGTCAGTAAGTGCAATTAGCATCTTTGAAGTGAGGAGTGACTCATCTTGAGTCTTAGCGATGCATTTGCGCACTTTGCAGGATTGTCAGTTAATGTCAACCGACTGACTCATCCTGCACTCTACCCACTCAAGAAAAAAGAGAAAACACTTGGAACTTCTTTAGCTTTTCCCCCCAGTAAAATCTGAAACTCTTGCGAGACAACTTGTGCACAAATCAGTTTTTTAGACAGTAAGTTGTTTCACCTCACTGTGTTTGAATGTAGAAGATTGAGTTTTATGTGTGTACATAGCTGCAGACAAAAAAGGTCTGAAAGCAACCTTGTGGGCGAAGACTTGGCCGAATTGTGATCGAAACTTGATGCAAGTTCTTCTTGTCACCACCAGATTAACAAAGTTGAAGCGTACTTAGAGCGCTTTTTCTTGTTCGCACCTCTTTCTTCCATCAAATTTTGTCAAGTAAAGCATGAATCCAGGTCGCTGAGGTCTTAGTATCCTTTGGAACTACCTCTAACACATGGTCTCTGATCTTGAACTTGTAATTGCTGTAATTCTTCTTAGGTCAAAAAAACCACAACATTAGAGGTGTAAAGAGTTACCTCAATAAACTGGTGAACTGGTGAGTCTGTCATTAAAGATGCGAGAACATTGGTCCATGAAGCCTGAATGAAGCCCAATTCATTAATGATGACTCAGTATGCTGAGGTTTTGCTGCTTTCTTTTTTCTCTTTCACTGAAACTTGACCTTTTAACCATTCACGAGGTAGCTTGGCTTTTTAGCATTAAGTGGCTTGCAAGGAGAAAAAAAACACCCAGTCTGAAGAAGGGATGTGCGTGACTGGGCCACTAAACGATTAAAGGTCATCACCAGGGCTTGACATAAACACCCACCAACCCACCAAATGCAGGTGGTTTTCAGCATTGGCATGTTACACAGTCACTCCTACAAGCCACTTTGGCAGGTTGATTTTTTCTATTTATGTCTTTATTGCAGTCTTCTCAAGACTGCAACACTTGAACTCGCATGTGCCTTTTTGATAGGGCTCTAATGACCACTGGCACTGTTGAACATGGCGGGAAACCTCATTCACATAGCAACCTTGCACAGCAGTGGAGCAAGTTCCACCATCACTACACTTTTGTAATAAACACTGAAGTCCACAGCGGGGTAATAGTGGTATCCCAGTGTGCAATTTTGTATTGCATTACTGAGTTGTAGAAGCACAAAAGGCTTGTAGACACACAACGGAAGTGCCACCTCAGACACGCACCCAAACATTGCGCTGTTCTGAAACTTTCTTGCAACCCCCCCAGTTCATTTTTTTTTTTTTTCAAAGAACAGAAAAAAAATATAGAGAAAGCTTTTCTCTCGCAAACACTGAGCTCTTTAAAAGTGTCACAGAAATTAACAAAAGCTGAAAGTATGATCAGGTTTAAAAGACTTTTCTTCTCTTGTAAATGCTTTAAACAAAACGAGCCACTCTAGTCATGCTTCAATTACAACACATTAACTCTACTTAGCAAATGCTTTGTAAACGTGATTTCTGAGGGAATCGTCATACGGTGTCTGTGTTGAAGGTGGGATATCTTGTTCTTTTGTCAATAACAACCCTGTGTTACAGATTTTTATTGGTCTTGATTTGTGATCAAATGCATTTTTAGGGGTTTTGAATCTTATTTAAGTAAATTTTAGCAAACCATAGTCAAATCTATCAATAAACTGTGATTTCCTGAAAACAGATTAGATTAGATTAGATTAGATTAGATTAGATTAGATTAGATTAGATTGGATTGGACAGAACTGACAGAACTTGATCCTTTAGGGAAGGTTCCCTCAAGGAAATTAAAATTCCAGCAGCATCAATATGTTCAGAAGAAAACAGAATGATTAAATACATAAGAAATAAAAATGCAATATGAATAAAGAGTAAAGGTATCATAAAACCTCAGATAAATATTTTTAAAAGCATGGTCTGATGGATAAGCAGTGCGTGTCAAGGTTGATATGGTACTTAGTTTATAGTTTGTAAGTGTATGAATACAGAGACCAAATAAGATGAATATTTTCCATGTCCTCTGCTGTTTTGTGAGCCAAATAAACCCTGACAATTGGTAACCAGCATTACAAGAGCTGAGGAGCTAATCTATACTATAGTAAGAGACTACGGGACAGCAGTATGGGTAGCCACTTACAACTGTTGGAGTGAAGGTGAGCTGGATCAGGCACTGACCAAGAATGTGCCACATTCATTTCATATACTACCAACGACACACATGTCAATGTGTGTTAGACAGTGTTTAAACTGGGTTCAATGAATTTTGCTCAGTTTTGACTGTTTCTCTAATGTATTACTAGTCATCATACTGTTCAACCAAACTGGATTTTGCTTCCATTTGACTGATGGGTAAATTGGTCACTTTATCTGTCTGCTTTGGAAATTTACAGAGCTTTACCTCACAAATCAAGTCCTTTCTGTATTCTAATTAATCACTGCTAAAGCACATTAAAAAAAGAAAAAGTCTGCATCAAGGAGGGGTATACTAATTTAGCTGTGTTCAGACTGGTCGCCTACTTGAACAATGTCAGAAATTCTGGGGGAGGGCAATGACTGTGTGAATGAGGCTACAGCAAGACAAAGAAGTGACACTGAATATTCATTTGAGCTGATAAATAGTGACACTAGGGATCTAATCAACACTTTTCCATTTAGGGTTTGTATGCCGTTCATGGCTAGCCCTGTTTCACATACTTATAACAGAGAATAGAGTTATTGCAATAGATGTTCCAGCTTGAACCTAGATAAGAGTCTGTTGTGTGTCCACTCTTCACTAATAAATCTTTTTTTCCCCACAGTTAATTCAGAGAGAAACGACAAATAAAAGACAAGATATATCAGTGAGAAAGAGGACAAACATGGAGTGAAGACGGATCACAACAGACCCCCAGCAGGAAGAAAGGAGGGTTAAAGCGGATGAAAGATAATAAATGAGAGGGAAGGAAGGAAGTGAGAGATAGAAAAAAAACAGAGCGTTTGGTGTGATCGATGGATTTGGAGAGGGGGAGAAGAGGAGCGTTCCCTTCAAACTACCTCTCAGTCAAACACTGCTGTGCAGCAGGAGAAGGTGTCTGGTGAGAGGTGCATGTGTGTGTGTGTGAGAGAGAGAAAGAGAGAGAGACAGTGTGTACTCTACCTGGCATATGTGTGTGTTTGCCGCATGTACCATGAGTCTGGGGACCAGTGGGGGGTTGACAGATTATCTGTCGGGAAGCAGGTTGGAGGGATCTCGCGCTCCTCATTTTCCACAGTCACTCATTGGCTCCCTCGCTTTCTGCGCTGCTCAAGGTCACTGCAACACTGCGAAAGTTTGGAAGGTACATGATACTCGGAGCTCACGGGTGAGTCAGCGTTTTCTACCTCTTTTCTTTGTCTCTAACAGTGAGAGCAGTGCTGGATCAAATGTGAGTCCTGTAACTGAGTCAGATATATCTCACTTGTGTGTCACTGCTCATGGCATCAAGGGGAAATTATTCTTTTTGCATCATGATGTTTTTCATTTTTTAGCACCATCAGGGCACCAAAAGTAATCGTATACAAGATAATCATGCCTAAATTTGCTTGTTTGACATCCAGCTTTATCAAGGACTGCTCTCAAATGTTGCTGGGGAGATTCTGGAGTGTTTTTTTTATTTCTTGGCCATCCAGCTGGAAAAAATATAAACTTCTTCAGTCAGTTACTGATGTTTGGCAACAAAGCCTTGTTTCAAACTGTCATTTCCAATTTCCTGCATTTAATGCAGTTGAAATCTAACAAATTATAGTTGAGATCCTCCTGACCAAACCCATCTAACCAAGTGTTTCTGACTCTCATTTTTTCTCAGGTACACAGCAACGCTGGACAGCAAAGTGCCCTAACTAGATATTGACCAAAAGTTCGAAGCGCTTAATTGGCTGAAATGTTTTGTATCCCGTAGTTCAATGTCTGACAAGGGCAGACGATCTGCAGTGGCCTGAATGATCCCCACTGGGAGAAACATACTGCAGTAAACATGCCACTAAAACACCAACAACGCACAGTCAAAAACACACATAACCAGAGACCAACTGCAAAAGACAAACACTGCAAGTGCTCCGGGCTTGTAGGGGGCTTGAGACAGCTTTATTGTTGGCCAGACGGAGAGAGGAAAGCCAGACACTGAATTAATCAACTTTCAAACTCCAATGCTCCAAGAGCAGAGCGCTTGTGAGGGCCCTACCCCAATATCTATAGAGCAAAATAAGCAGAGTAGACATTCTTTATGTGCTTGCAAATAAAACCCAATCAACTTTTATCCAAAAACAGCTTCGAATGAACAAAATGCTTTGCCAAGTATTTTCTGCTGAGTGTAGCTTAAGTTAGATTCAGATCTTAGTTAGCAGCGCAGCTAGTAGTGTCATTTGCTACCTGGTGTTTGGCTCTAAGTGTGAAATTGTAATGATAATAAATTTCTAACAATCAACAGGAGCTTCAGACAGCTGGAAGATTGAAGCTTGAGGCATTGCTTGGAAAAGTGGCATCAACAGGGTGAAATACAGTCACTGTAGCTGAGAGATTTACAGTGAGTTCATTCTGGACTCTGACACCAGGGATGGGAAAGAAGTGTGATCCTATTAACATGATCTAACAGATGATGCTTGAGGCAAAACTCAGCGATGGTACTGCAGCACTATTCAGTGCCGCTTCTTCTAGCGACACCGTCTAATACTACAATTAGCTAATTCTGCTTAACACCAGGCTCAAACAGCACATGCATGTTGGTCATGAAGTTTTGTTACCTTTGAAGTTAGAGCTTGTGACAGGCATGCCTCAGAGTCCAGGTCAGAATCTCTTCGAGATGGCCTCAGTAATGAAACATTGAAGTCCAGTGTCAAACTTTGCAGTTTTCCAGTCTGAAGGAGTCTGGTCTTTCAATCTCTATTCTGTTTGTGATAAAGTGTTCGCTGAGCACCCCTTCAGTGACAGAGCACTCCTGCCTTACAGTTGTGGAAGTTTAATATTTTGTGTGCAATTCCAGCAGTACCTGCACCAAATTGAGGCCCTTCACTGTGTTGTTCTATATGAGTAGAATGGGGTGCATCCAAGAGGCAAATTACTGCATCCATAGTTTGAGTGCATCAAATACGAAGGACATCCGGTATCATCAATGCAGCTGCAGCATGCTTTACTTTACCATCACTCCACACAAGAACTTGGCTTTGCACTACTGTATGGTCGAGTTTGTCACGCAGCAGTTGGCCAAGAAAATGTGTTTCATAAATCTTACAAAGAAGAATGTGCGCTCTTGTTTTTTTTTTCTTTTTTACAGGAAAGTTGTAACTCCATAGTGAGTGATGCATCAAAAGATGGTGGCTTTTGTAATATATGCTCCTGCACATTCTGGTCCTCCACTGTGTGATTTTGTTTGGTCTATCATTTTGTGGCTTAACTGTTATTGTTGCTATAGGTGATTCCACTTTCCACACCACCTGTATGACCTTAAATTCACTCAGTGACTAATTTAAGCCAGTGGTTTTTACAGTCTACTAATTCAAAGTGATTGGCCGTAAATATGACATAGTTTTTTGCTGAATTTCTTATACCTGCAAAGAATGTCTGAAACACAAAAAATCTGTTTTAGCAAGTTGTCACTTTTTAAAAATGCATGTTTTATCACTCTAGAATTTGACAGCATTTTAGATCTATTTGTGATATAAGTGGCTTTTAATGAAAAAAAATAAGCTCTCCTTTGTCAAATATAACTGTTTAATTCCCCACGGTCTCAGTAAGTGCTTGTAATACACCAAGTATTTAGGTCTGCCGTGGTTTTTCTCACTGGCTTGTGTAACTGTAATATAAAGAAATAAAGGTCCTGTTGTCATCAAGGAGGGAAAAAGGTTGGATTTTGAGGGGTTTTCAGAGAATAATTGGAGAAAAAAATAAAATAAACTAAAATATATATATATATATATATATATATATATATATATATATATATATATATATATCACACATCCAAATGTAATCAGTGGTTAGGCAAGCAGCCAGAAAATACATAAATATGGGACCATATTTCCTTTTGCCTGACCCTCTACGTCTTTCCAGTTGTGTCCCCCCAGTTGCAGAAGAGATAAAGCATATTGGGCTTCAGCTCCAAGCTGATCCCATGCCTGTTTCTGGACTGCTCCAAGCAGTTTGGCAGGACAACAAACAAAATACCCCAGCAACGCAATATGAGACCCACGACAGCACACAGCCAAAGAGAAAAAAGAGGAGTGTGACAAGTTGGATGTTTAATACTTAATATACCATTCTCAGATTAGTTTTGCTATTGCTGTTAGGTGGCCTCAGACACAGCAAGATATGGCCAGAAATGAGGTTTGGATTATGACAGTGGCGGAGATGCTGGGGTACCACAATATGAATCCCACATTTCCCACAACACAACAGTGTTTCATTACAAAATAATGCTTGATACTTTATTTTGGCTATTTAAACATCATGGGCTGCAAAAGAAAAACATCTCTAACAATGCTGTCTGTATTTAATCTTTGATTCTAATTGTAACTGATCAACAACACCAAGTAAGGGATAATTTACCGTATTTTTCACGCTATAAGCCGCACCTGATTATAAGGTGCACCATCAATGAACGCGTCTAGTCGCGTCTATTTTCATATATAAGGCGCACCAGATAATAAAGCACATTAAGCCAAACAAAACAGTCAGATAAGTCAAACTTTATTCAACTCATTCAATAACTTCGCAAGGCCACGGTAGCTGCAGTTCTCCAACAAGCCAAAAGGATTTTGAAGTGCGCCTTATAGTGCAAAAAATACGGTACACAAAGAAGCTAATTATATGGACCAGAAGAATTACAGCCCATCTACTAGCTTCCAACCCGCAATATAAACAAGTTAACGCACATTTCAAATCAGAAATTAACAATCATTTATTTACTGAATTAATTAAATCAAATTTGTTCCTCTAATTCCACACTTGGTAACGTTTATAATGGCGATGGATTTATATCTCCCTCCTCACGGGTCAAATGACAATCAACCAACCAACCACCAAGTTGCAGTCAAACAGCAGTCTGTCCATTTGTTATATTTCAAACTAAATTTAACATTAACTCCAAATGTAGAGTTGAAAAAAGTGAACGGGACATCTCTCCTCTTTCTCTGAAAACAGAAACTAATGTTCTTTTTTTTCTCTGCTTCATTGTAATAAGCAAAAGTAAAAAGAACCAGAAATCATTTCATCTGATTTGTAACTTGCCTGTACCTGTTGTTGATTTTTCAGAAAAGACAAGCTCTTTCAAGGGCTTTGGGATAAAATGTAAAGTGAGGAATCACATATTTAGCAAAGGGTGATCAGTGAGGAAGCGGGCAATAAAAGCAGATAATTTAGACCTCAAGTTCATTGATATAAAACACATGAAAATCTGTATGAAAATTTAAACAGCAGTCACCATAATAACAAAAAAGAAACATCTCAAATCTCAGGCTTTGACGATTTTCAGCTGTTGCATTTGTGGAATTTGGCTGTGGATGAATAATGGTAATGAAATATTCATTAATGCTAATGTTTCTCTTGGCAATCAGCCTTTACCTCAAAACAACTGCAGACAGACTTCTTTGTTCCAACTGCAGAGTTTAAGTTTTCCCTCAAACACCACATGCCACATGCTTTCGCTAAAATAAAGGTTTCATCACTGCTTCAATCAACATGAGACAGATCTGACAGAACGTCCATCAACATTAAGCTCGAGTTATCTATTGTCTGAGATCTGTAATTTATTTCTGTTCGTCAGTGAGTAATAAGGGATACTTACTTTAATGGATGGCTTGTGGGAAGCTGCAAAAATGTCAAGATCATTAATCCCCAGAAACATCAATTACAACTTTCAATGACACATTCCCATGACTCCCATTCTCTTTCTTCTTGGCTTTCATAACCCTCTCTCACACATGCACACTTCCGCTGCCTCCCTTTTGTCCCTCACTCTATACAGTCCAGCCAACCACTGTGGGTTCTCTGAGGATTCCTGTGGCTGAGTCATGTCGTGCTCCATAACATTCACAATACCGTCTTCCCAAATGTGTAACTGGCTAAGCATGAAAAGACGTCAAAGTGCCTGTGTCTGTAACAGAGACCGACAGAAAAAAAATCTGTTGCGTCCATCCATTACAGAGAGCAGGAAGGGCCAAAATAACATTAAATGACCCTCATACCAACACTCCCTCAACCCCCAAGACGGACCTCCAGCTGCAAGCTAACTCCACTCTCACGTGTTGCAGCTCAGTCCAAATTCCTTCGTATTCCAATCTATTTGTAATCCATCAACATCACTGCAGCCATTTATTCGTTCAGCCTTAGCCAAAGCATTCATCAAACTTCCACTTTGGTCTCAAAGAAAGAGGCAAAAAATGTAGCAAAGCTCCTCTTTTACAAACCTCAATTCTTTGACCCCAAACCGCAGGCTCCACATCACGAAATCCCATGTTTCTTTTTTTCTCTGCCCCATTACCCGCCTAATTCATAGTCTCCCTCGCACCAAACCCAACAGGATTGAAATATTGATTTAGTAATAAAGTAATTCACTGTATTGGGTGTTTGAAGTGATTAAAATTACTTTAGAGTTGCATTTCTTACCTGGGCCAGAAAAACCTAATTCACCTAGAAGATTTTTATTTGTTCAATCAGAACTTTTCTTTTGTTGGAGGTTCTACTTCACTTTAGTTTCCACAACCACCCTTAACCTCAACTCCTTCACTTCTGGACTCACCTGATCTTGAACTTTCAACTGTAGTACTCCAGCTTTCCACCATTTCCTCACCCCAGACATTTACCCCTACCTCACCCCAGCCTCGGTTTCCAGCTCACAACCCCCGCAGCCCCAACCAGATTCTCCACCTTCCCCATCCCAGGGCTAACTTTCAGGATCTTTAATCCCAGTCTAGCTGAAGTCATTCATTCCCAGCCAAAACCACAGATGTTTCAGCGGGCTCCTCTCACTCGCTCACAGCTTGGGTTAAGAAGGCCAGAATTTGACAGGGTACTTCCTTTAAAGGCAGGAGGAGGTTGCCAGACAAAACTAAAATGAAACCTTGCTCTCAACATAAACTCCAAATTTTATATGTTACATAAATCAAAGGAATACAGGGTATGAGGTGCTTAAATCAACTGAAATATAAGTAAGACTTGTGCATAACAAACAAAACTTTATGATATCCAGATTTAAGTTTAACGTTAAAGACAAGTCAGCCAAAAAGCCAAGCAGCTTAGAGAATATGACCTTGGAAGTAAACTATATCATACTATAGCCAGTCTGCCTGCGATCCAACCTGCCACCCACACTGTCTGCCGGTAAGCAAAACAGCCATCCAGACGGTCATTAAAACAACAGGTTCTTCTCTTCCTTTTTCCATGGAACCTGTCGCTGCATTCCTCTCTCTATGAGGTGGCTCTTGACTCATGGAGAGGTCGGGTTATAGGAAGTTAGTCATAATAACACACGCAGACAGAGGCCTCCAGTTGGCCTCCGATACCACAGCTCAGCCCCAACACAGCTGCAGGCTGTGACTTAACTGAAGCTGCACTTCTTAATCCTGCACAAAAGAGATTTAACTACAGACTCCTCGAAGGAAACACAGTTTTGTGTGAGAGCATACCAGTGTCTAGAAAGAGACAGAAGTACTCATGGGCTCTGGTTTCTAGTGTATATCATATAAAAAATATACTATAAACATGCCAACAGGATGCCTCAGGGCCAGTGTTTTAACTGTCAAACCAAATCATAGAAAAAAAAGTTTAAAAGAGACACAATAGTATGAAGTGTGACCAGAACATCTAATCCTGTTTGGGTTTATCCCCTGCTAAAATCTATAGTGTATGTTGGGCAGAACTTTTTTAAGGATTTTGGGATAACTTTAATTGTAAAAATAAGGAGTAGGCTAAATGTAATGATCCCAGAAGCCAACTACAAACTATTCTAAACACTTTCATTTGTCACTTAAAAACCTTGTCATTAAAACTGTTATACTCTTAAGTGCATTTAATGTTTTAATGTTGTTATGGGTCATGTGAGGTCTGACTGTTAAAAGGAAAAAAGGTCAGAAATGCTGATAACATGATGTTTTCCAACCAACTGAGTAAAGAACTTACAGTGACCCCCAGCCGTCTGCTTTAATAACGGTTCTCATGTAACTAGAAGCCAGATATCAAAAATTGCATTTTAGAGCACAAGTTATATAATTTTGGTTTTCCTGGAAGTCTTGGAAGTCTATACCTCGAGGTATCAACTCCATCGTTGCTCTAAAGAAACAGCACAAACTTCAGCTGTATTAGCTGATTCTGACAGATTAGATGGCATGATCTGTTTCAGATAAAAGTTTTTGGGCCTGAGAGATTCAATTCAAGATCACCTGATTGCTCTACCTGAGCTACAGTCAACAAAATGTATGTTAGCTGTGAAAACTTCACAGTAAAATGTGTTTTATTTGGCAGGTCAGCTGACAAGAAGCTGATACTTTGTAAAGAAAAACAAAACAGGAAAAAGACTTTCCTCCATTCTGGGGGATTTGCTCGTGTTTCCTTTGTCAGTATGTAAAGAGAGGATTAAGCCAATATCCACTCTCATATAAAGTGATATTTTTCCTTGCAAACAGAAAGTTTATAGAGAATTAACTATACAACACAAGCGATGGTTGAAACTGGCAGGTTTAAAAGAGACTGAGACTCTGCCTCCTTTTATGGTGCGAATCTGCTCCTGCCTTGGGCTTGTTTTTAACCAAGGTATCAACATCAATTACATTGTTGGCTTTATATATTAACTTGCTCTGTTCAGACAACGCTAGAGTGAAGTTAACTATTCAATAAGTTTGGTTTTGCACACAGGCCACATTGGTAGTGTTAAATTTTAGGAACTTTCACATTTTGTTCATATCTCCACGCTTTGAGAAGCCTTGGAGGTCTGTCAAAGGTTTCTTACTGGACCTAAACAAGTCAGCTGATCAAAGATACAGCATCTGCTTTGTGAACAGACCAGGACAAGATACCAGCCTTTGTTCTGCATGGTGAGCAAACAATAAAAGTAACACTACTTCACTACAAATGATGCATAAATCATGTCAGATTACCTTTATCTTGACTATGAAATTGCATTTATTTTCTCTGTAGTATAGATGAGCTCCTAATTGTTGCCAAAACACACAAAATACATCTCCTGAAAGCTGCCTGCCTCACAGAGTGAGTGGATTTAACAGTAAGTAGCTATGTTGTATGTTTTATTTCTAGAGCTAATACTATCAACACAACAACATGTCATATACAAGCATGGTTAATTCCTGAGCCTCAGGTATTAGACAGTTTTACTTTCTTCGCATGTATTTCCAGCAAAAAAAGGGTCCTTCTGACAACAACAGCTGGAGAAAAAGAAGAAGAGGAGGACGAGTAATGAAACCTTTTTATTCTTAATTATCCTTGATGCTTTGGAAAAAAAAAAAGTAGTCATAATAGGTTTTAGAGCAAAGACGATATTGATCTAACTGGTTGGTAAATGAATCAAGGTTGTTGTCTGAATCATTTATCAGGGTGAGTAAAACAGCCCAACAACATAATTTAGGACTTTGCTCCAATGAGAACAAAAAGCTAGTATTCACATTGCAATAGTGCCAAAGGCCAAAATGCTAGAGGGTTTGAAAAAGAAATCTGTATCAGGTCTAACATAAAAGTGAGGAGCTTTTTAAAACAACAACACCCTCCTCTAAACCAGTCCTGACAGAGAAGAAGAGGGAAAAAGTAAGAGGAGCAGAGAGAGTGAGAGACCTGCTGAGAAGAAAGAGATATGGAGCGAATGCCAATGTGAGAGGGAGGAGAAGTGAGGAGAAATGAAATCAATAATGAACGGCTCCATAACAGGAACTTAATCAGAACAGCAGGTCCCTATATTGCTCCTGACTAGCACACGCATCACCACTGTCGATTCAATTTACTCCCCAAACCCTGAAAAAATAAATAAAACATGGAAAATAAATTGAGACGCTCATTCAAATTCATTAGAACTCGTCCCTGTGTGCCTACAGTACATAATATTCCCTTCAAGAAGAAGAAGAAGTAAAACAGGAAAAAATGAAAATATGCCAACAACTCAGTATTGGTTTCTTGGAGAGAATGAAGGCGAGGGTACCAAGTCATTACTGCCTCCTCAAAGCTCACTGTGTTTTTTTCCCCTCTCATACACACACACAGACATCTTTGTTTATGAAAGCACATACTCTATTCATATGCTGATATGAAAATATAAGTAACCAAACAGTAATATGTGAGGATAGTATATACACATTTGCACACAAATATTTAAATCCCCTCTTCCTATACCCACTTGCCCTGTAGGTGAAGGTGCTCCATGCTGCGGTTTCCCCATAATAGCTGACCACACTACAGATAATTGTAGTTCTTCTCCCACTTATAGACTGTATTAATCATGTGAAATAATACAGTGTGGTCCATCTCATACTATCCCACTGTACCTGAAGCCAGAATACTGTTTCTATTTGTGCTGTCACATTGCACAGGTGATATATTTTGGAGCCAAGACAAGTGCTAAAGGAATCCAGCTGGTGGAGCCTGCATCTGTTTTTTATGAAAAAATAACTCAATAGATTTTTAAATTCACTAATTGGACCCACACTATATCTGTTATAATAGAGGAAGTGGCCTTATGACCTGCAGTGCAGCAAGTCACCATGGCAATGCCAAAAGTTTCGGCCACTTTTACGCAGCTGTTGTATAGTTTGCTCTCAAACCTCCGCAAAGACAGAGTGAGAACCTAGAAATCATGAAGTAACCATCTATCCATTACTGTGAAACCAACAGTTGAGACTTCTGTACACTCGCCTCGACTTATACAACAATCCACAGTAAACTCTAAACTGGTTTTGGAGTCAGCCTCAAGTGGCCAATTAAGGAACTGCAGTTTTTGCACTTCCATGTTTCTTTCATCTCAGTTGCTTGGTCAGACATTGTCAGGGGAAGCTTTTTATCAGTTTTCTGGGCTCTTTTCTTTTTTAATTTGACCAATTGTCAAGTAGCGGCCTAAACTTAAGACTATTTCTTGACAAGAAAAATAATTAATGGAAGAGAAGCCTTACTTTCCACACAATGAGCTCCATCATCCTCTAATTCTATGAAATGGCCACAGCGAGAACAATCATCCGAATCTTTACAAACAGCAAGAACAATAGAAGAAAAAAATCAAATCAGTGAAAGGCAATGTTGCGAGAAGCGCAGGCTGGGATGGTGATGACGTGGGGAGCAAGACTGTGGGTGGTTGACCAGCCATGGAAGCTCTGTTTTGACGGCGGCACAGGAGTGATGTTTTAATAGTTGGATCTGCTCCCTCAACCAATAAGTTTCTTCCCCACACATGCAGCACACCCTTCACTCTTTTCTCACTTCTTTTCTCACTTTCTCATTCACAAACATCCTCCTATCCATGTGTCTCACACTAACACCATAACTCACTCTCACCTTTCTCCCCCCTTCTCTTCATCACTCCCTCTCTCCCAGTCTTCCAGACAGCTTCATAATGGCTGGCACCTCCTCAACACTGGCTCTAATTGAAAGATGAACGAGTTTATTTGGGCTTAATCCATCACCCTGTCACCTGAGGAGAGGAAGAAAGTCCAAGAAAGAGAGGAGGGCAGAAATGAGGATGGAGGGAGACAGGAGCAATAGGAGAACAAGATTACAGAGAGGCAGAGGGAAAGATAAGAGGGAAGGAAAAAGGAGAAGTTGAAGATGGCAGGAGCATCTCTCCTGAGAAATTAGGGATTGGCTGCATCATGATCAACAGCATAATATGCACAAAATAACACTAAATACTTTAAACAAGACAAGCTTATTAAGTCTCAATTATGCTGATGAAAACACGGGGAACATCATGAACAAAATACAAAGAGGAAAGAGTTAAGTGCTCCTCTGCAAATTTGTGGAGAGACAGCTCCGGCTGCTCGGACAGAGTTACAAGCCCAACTGTGTTCCTCTGTTTAATACAAGTGGCACCAATGGGAACATAACTCTGAACCCTGACAGTTGCAGGGGAATTCTTCTTCTGCTTTGCTAAACTGGATAACAAATTGCACCTTCATGCAGAGTCAACCGCAAAATCTGCCAACAGTGCATACCTACAAGTATAAAAGCCAATGCAGGTATCGTTTTATAAATGCAGTAAGTCAGTACTCAAGGGATATATATATAACAGCTTTGAACCCCTGTCCCAGATGACAGTTAGATATTCTTTGCATGCTTTGCACATACTCTCCCTCTCATGGCATTTGAAAGGGAGATAAAATTTTCATTACTTGAATGGATGGTTTCCAAGACCAAGGTAGAATATAGCAAAAAGCCTGCGGGGGAGGTTGACACTTACTCAAGTGATGTCAAGTCCATCCATTTCAGCACTTCCCAAAGAGTGTTAAGTTCTGTAGATTCGGCTGTGAGCTGTAACAACTGGTGAAATTTTTATCTCAGTAGGAAATAGCTTGCTAAATAACCTATGAAGGTATTGCACATGTTTGTGAGTTGTTATAGTGTGGAGATTATTGTGAGAACCTGTCAAAATAAAACATATCTAATAAATTGGTCCATTGCCTTACCAATTCTGTAAGTTACCTTTTTATTACTCTGACAAGCAGTAAAGATGGCTGTGAACCACTAACCCCAAGGTTGCTTTTATGTCTGTGGTGGTTTTTACTCTCTAGACTCATGAGAAATGGTGATCACAAAGGGCACAGTCAAGCTTGGATGGTTTTGCACCTGCTAGTCTGAACTGATCTTTTTCATTCTCCTCTTTCTGCAGAAGGACAGGTACTGCATTGCCTCATTGCAAGTTTAAGGAGACTGACATGGCCTTTTCTTTTTACCTCTAGGCTCATGTCATAAACAACATCTTTCATTTGTCAGTTGACCATAAATGGCCCTTGACACCAGGTGAGTAAAAAATGGGTTCAATAGAAGCACTTTATCTCCTGCAGAAAATTGTCTCCCTTACACAGTTCCTGCTGAGGTTCCCATGCCTGGAGCAAATTCTCCTGTGCAATTTGACCAAGTGAAAAGAGCCTCGCTCGCATGTCAAAGATGTACCAAAATTCATTTTTGCTGCTAGGGCAGCCCACTGAGCTATGCTGGAGTAAATCAAATGCACCTCCGGGTACATGTCAAAACAGCAGGTGAAAAGGGGAAGTTCTTTGGAGACTCAAAGTACCTTTAGCTCATCGAATAGCAGACACCTACTGTATGTTAGGACCTA